TTTTTTAATTTACTGTTTCACTGATTAGATGGCAGTTTTTGGATCGACATCCCCTCTGAAGGCGATCAGTGTGTGAACGACCTATGTGACTCCTGCAGTACCTTCTTCAATACTGGCACAGAAAGGTTTAAAAGAGTGTCAAGGCGGCCTACAGTAACTCAAAACTTGATACATTCTTCCTCAAGGTTAATACGATGGCCGCTAGACAAATGTTACACTGTGCTGCTGTGAGAAAGCTTTGTGTGTAGACAATCATACCAGATTCTGATATTGACACTCGGATTATAAATGACATGACGTCTGGACTTACGCACTCACAAACAAAATAAAGCAGTGTATCGTATCATAGCCGTAGGTTAGCACAGCGAGCGTGCTCATGACCCCCGAAGACATCTCGTCCTCGAGTCGGAGTTCCGACTGGGTACCTCCCCGAACACGAGGAACACACACACTCCCGCTCTGCTAACCTATTAATCGGGCGAAATGATGTGTGTTCCAACTTATATAAAGCGAACAAACCTCTTGCAAGACATCTCAACGTTATCGCTTTTGTTCTGGGAGGATAACCCAGACATCCTGACTGAAACTGCGCGTTATACTGTACAAGAAATGTCGCGAGCGTCTTCAGATAGTCCACGACCTCTTCCCGCTGTTTCTGGGACGGGACCTAAACTGCTCGTCATGTTCGTTTACACCCTGTAAGACCCTCGCTCGTCGAATCCTTTCCTGGTGTCAGTACGGACGCCACGCGAGCTTGAACCCACGCTGGCAGGAATTACTGTCCGCGGAGGATTACGTGAAACAAATTCGCGAGAAATGTTATCGGGCAATTAGATAATGGCTTAAGACCCTGAGCGGAATACATTCGAACCCGAAGCCATGTCAAAGTTGATGACCTGAAGCACGGGTTGTCCACCGGCTGAAACTGGACCTCAAAGGCTTGATGGTTGACCAGAGCTTTCAGGGCGAGGTCCCTTGTGACCTGCAATTGCCTCCTCACCCGGTTCTTGAGGAATATTTCATCCTGAATACTTCTCATCGACAATTCTGCTTTAATAAATAAAACCTATTCGAGTGAGAAATCAGGTAAGGGAGTGAGTGGAGCGACATTGCAGATCTAGGCAACTGAAATGACTTGTAAATGGAAACATTACTCAGAATAAGTTACGTCCATTAGCAAATAATATCGCAAGAATGATTGTACAACTGTTACAGATCAAACTATTTTGTTGTTTCACAAAGTAGTGGACTCTTCCGAGAAGAAAGTGTTTAACGTAGACTTTGAGTAACTAATATACAGAATGCAAACACGCTTTCGTTGGAAGCGACAGAGTTGTCACAGTTAAGGAAGTTAAGTAAACACAAACACACAAAACAAAAATATAAATTACTGTATAATCAGTCAGTCGCGTCTGTTTAACTTGGGCAAGAGGGCAGTTTTAGGTTAGGTTAGGTTAGAAAAGCGAAGGAAAATACATTTCTTCACTTCATGAAGTAACACCATCAAGTTGAGATATTCCGAAGGGGAAAAAGAAAAGTTTCATGTCATCGCCACCCCCGATTTGACGCCAAAGTGTGGCGCTGTAACGGTTTCACAGTAAAATGTTTCGTACACAGCAAATGTCTTTGTGTCACTTACAATTCGACGCGGCTTCCCAAGAATTCGTACTTCCGTGATGAAATATTCGTGTTACCACGTGGGGTGAGAATAAAAATATGACATGTACAACAGACCAAGTCAATCGAAACATTCGTGATTGTAAATAACTGGATTTTGATTTGAGCTTTCTTACATCGATAAAAGGGCAAAATAATTTCTAAATTTTAGGGCGGGGGGGGGCTGATGATAATGAGAGGGTCGAGGGGGGCCCAGAAGCCCCAATGACTGAACCTTCCATCATCACACATCAGTGACTTCTCGAGTGTTAAAAAGATATCACACATGATTCATGATCATCTTCTAGTCTAATTCGCCGCCACGTGAATTCCGCAGTTGGAGCAGCATCGGAAAATTAATTACGAATCGATAAATGTGATAAATCTCTTACGTTTGATTCATAATGGTCACAAACATTAAGCATTCTGATCAGTTAAGAGAAGTGTTCGGAACATGGCTGCCATTTGCATTTCTTATCTGTTACACGTCCAGAAACCTAGTTTCTTAAACTGAGAAAGTTGCAAGGTGGTCTGACGACTTGTTACACAACTTTGAAGCGGTTTAATGTTCATGCGGCTACTATATGCTCATAACGTGTTAGAGACAAATTATCAGTTGTATGGTGTCGCCATATAACCTAACCCAACCTAACCTAACCTAACCTAACCTAACCTAACCTAACCTAACCTAACCTAACCTAACCTAACCTAACCTAACCTAACCTAACCTAACCTAACCTAACCTAACCTAACCTAACCTAACCTAACCTAACCTAACCTAACCTAACCTAACCTAACCTAACCTAACCTAACCTAACCTAACCTAACCTAACCTAACCTAACCTAACCTAACCTAACCTAACCTAACCTAACCTAACCTAACCTAACCTAACCTAACCTAACCTAACCTAACCTAACCTAACCTAACCTAACCTAACCTAACCTAACCTAACCTAACCTAACCTAACCTAACCTAACCTAACCTAACCTAACCTAACCCAACCTAACCTAACCTAACCTACAACCAAAATGTTAAATTCATTTAACAATTTAACATCAAGACAATTTTATTTTAAATAAATACTACGATTTCGTCTGTGTGTAAGATAAAATTATAGTCAATGTTCCTAATACCACACCATGAATTGTTTAATATTATCCTCCCAGCTATTCCTAGGGGTCTCACAATTGGACTCTTCTCATCAGAATTTCCCCACTGAAAATTTGTAAACATTTCTTCTCTCCGACGCGTCCCACATTTTTCCATCTCGTCCCGTCGTGGTCAAGGTGGTAACCCTGGCATTTGGTGAAGTTCCTTGTGTACAAACGTACAGACGCCACACGACATTACTCTAACGGTGTGACGAAAGACAAAATCTGGTCACGAGTCCGTCCCAACAGGGACTGGACACCAGCTGACTCACCATCAGCTGCAAAGTGATTTGGAATTGAATCTAGCCGCATCAGTACCCTGAGGATAAGGACACAGATGGTTCTCCTTTCAACCACCTAACCCGAGAGATCTTTATTACAAGTCGACGTCTATCCTCCAGATCAAACAAATGAAAATCTAATTCGAAGTCTCCGTCACCGCAGACAGCCTCAAAGTTCCGACAGAGTTGCCAAACAACGAGGGTGAGATTACAGAGTCCGTCTTGACCGATTCACCGTGCGTTTATTTTCTTGTAATTTTCCATTTCGTGAAAATGTGCTGCCTAAATTAGAAAAGCTTTCGACTTAATTAAAAGATTTTAACAATTCTGTCCACTCCACGTGAGTACGCTTTTGACAGCCTCCATCGCTACAGCCCAGAGGCAGCCATCTTCGTACTCACCGCAGTGAAAACCTCAAATCTTGTCTTCGTAGAAAGTAAAGCTGTCCCATTGCACCACATGAAGGTAAAGGACCCCAGAGCCGGCAGGGGCTAGAGGAAAAATCCTCTGCTCCCCTAGGGGATCGAACCCCGGTCCCGTCCGTAGTCAGTCACTATACAGACTGAGCTACTCCCGCCCTCACTTATCTTTGTTCACGAAGTGTTTGCATGTAAGAAAACAGCTACAATAATTTAGTTCGGGACCCATGGTATCTAACAAGTTAAAAAAAATCACACTAGATGGCAGAAGCTGTTGAGAGCATGTCACGATGGCTCAATCTCTCTTTCAGCCTTCACAGATCAGGAAAAAATAATTCTGTAGCGCACGCAACACGATACACGACACGACACACAATTTTGACTGTCTTCTGGGTTGTAGCGGCGAGTGGTAGAATTTTACCAACGTTTCGGAGGTCCTTACTGCCTCCATCATTAAGGCAATGAGTCATAAGATGATGGAGGCAAAAAGGACGTCTGAAACGTCGGTAAACGTCTACCGAGACTATACGGAACTACAACCCAGACGACAGCCATTTTCTAAAGTGATTATTTAATCCATGTAATGAGGATTTTTATTCTCCCCCCTCGCCCCCCGGCACAGACGAAATTCTTAAACATTATTTAGATGAGATTTGGCTTCAGGGGTTATATTTTATATCATGTTAATTAGCCCTTCAATGCCACCTAACATACGCAGCGCTCCGAGTAATTCTGCACGTTGACTTTGAATCTAAACAGAATGCCCACTGCAGATTTTTATTTTTAAAAATCAAAGACAAAATTTTGGCACAATTTCATTTTTCCATGACATATATTACATTATAATTCTTTGAAAAACTTCTCTCTCTCACCAAATAGTGATTTATATTACGTTCACAGCCTGCGTCTAAGGTGGCGGAAGGCTTCCCGACACATCTAGTCCCATCCATGTACGCCACACGCCCCCGCCCATCTCATTCTTCATTTAACATCTTACGACTTATATTTTGTGTGGAGGTTCAGAAGATAAAACAATTCCCTACGCTATACGAGAACCAAGAAACAACATCTCGTGGCAAATATTTTCTTTCGGAACATTAAGATGCAATGCTTGTTCATGCGCGCTTTCCGCTTCAATGGGCCTGAAAGGGGAAGAAAAATCAAAGAAAATACTTGCCAGGAAACTGCGGCCATTCCCACGGACATATTATAAAATGCACTCACCAATTTGGAGCGCCACTTTCGGCACCTTACAGGACATGACAGAGTTTCACAAGAACTGAGGTACGAACCAAAAGAAAATGGGCACCTTCGGAGCGAGATAGTAGTCGAACTTCTGAAAGTCTGAGGCCTCTAATGGACAATCGCATTAATACAACTACTACAATAAACTGATAAAAAACTTTAAATCAAACGCTACACTGAGACAAAAAGTATAATCGCGGGGATAAACGTGGATAAGGGAAACATTTATTCATATTCGACTAAGAGATATTTTTTTAACGATTTAAATGAATATATTTCAGGTTGAAGCGCTAATTACAAATCCTTCCATTCTTGACACTTAGATTATATCACAGATTCTTCACGATCACTGAAAGATTGTGTACAATCACAAAACTCAAATGAAATGTAATGGTGAACTGCAGTCACGCGTAAATAAGATTTACATGTATTATTAGTCTTTCTGTCCCAAGTTTGATACATCACAGGACTGTCAACATTTGTGCTCCCTCAACTTCAGAAGCACTTACATATCAGAATCAGCCCTCTTACCACTGCGTTATACATTACCTAACCATTGCCATGTAGTACTCTTGATAACGCCACATAGCTGGTTTGAGCAGCGATATCAAACCATCCAATAGGCCCCACTTCACAGTCAGCACAGGCGAGATATTTTACGCCGTCGACAGAGTTTGAAAAGCCGACGTTCTCAAAGGAATACATGTCTTCCACGACCCAGTAGTCCTTGATGATTTCATCCTGTACAGATGAAATTTCACCTCTTTCCGCCTTCTGTTTCATGTGGGGCAGAGGGAACTGACAGCACACAAAATTGTTACATTAGGACAGCATTCGACAGAAGTGTCGAGCAACGTCAAATACTTTACATACCTAGAAAGAGTTCATGGCGTGGCGTGATAAAATTTTCGAAAAGCAGACAGTTTCGAAGTTCAAGTACTACATCATTGCACTATCTGTGGAGTGGTCAGCAATGAATAAAAAGTTACTATGTTTGTAAATAAATCACAAAGAATAAACTGAAAACTCATTCAGTTCAAGTCGCGTTTATCTGTTACACAGTTCCTCATAATTTGAAAAAGATTACTGAAGACATCTAGACAATATAAAAATAAATATATGTTGATGGCTGTCTTCTGGGTTGTTGCGCCGTGTAGTCTGGTAGAAGTATACCGACGTTGCAGATGTCCTTGCTGCCTCCATCATCAGGGCGATGAAGGAGGCGGTATGACCTCTGAAACGTTGGTAAACATCGACCAGACTACACAGCGCAACAACCCAGAAGACAGAAATCTTCATACTCATCGCCCTGATGACGGAGGCAGTATGACCTCTGAAACGTTGGTAAACATCGACCAGACTACACAGCGCAACAACCCAGAAGACAGAAATCTTCATACTCATCGCCCTGATGATGAAGGCAGTATGACCTCTGAAACGTTGGTTAACATCGACCAGACTACACAGCGCAACAACCCAGAAGACAGCCATCTTCAGACTCACCGCTGTAAAAACCTCAAATCCTACATAAATACTTGTTCCTACGTTTTAGAATCTGCTTATTACAAATATTGTAGCTCTTAAAATGTACCATAACATTTCATGATTATTCCAGTAATATGTAACTGCAGCAGCAGGAACTCAAAATTCAAATGATCATTGATATTTAAATTCTGACAAATATATTTCACAAATATTTTTCATAACTTTATGTAATCCTTTAATGCAGTTTAATAAATTTGTTTTCATTGAACCGCCACTTTTTAAAACAAAATTAAGAACATTTTAGTGCAGTGTCCTAGCTGTAGAAATACAGAGAACACGATGTTGCCACAGTTGAGTTTGATTATACATACACCCGTATGTTATTTTTCATTACATAATATACGCACATCTTCCAAAATCTCATTATCGGAAACCGTGGTGTGTGTTTTACATGACAAACTGAATACTTCATCTACCTGTAAAACTGAAGTATGAAGCATTATAACAATGGTGCATCGTAATAATTGTTCTTTTTGACAATGTCCATCACCTAAATTATAAAATAATAAAACCGCAGCATTTCAAAAGCTGGAGTCAACTTCCATCTTCAAGTAAACAGGGGGGGAAATGGACAGAAAGCTATCTAGCTTTCCTATCGTCAGATTTGACTCAGATCCGAGGCCAAACACAATGTTCTATGTCCTCTTCCCCCTTTTTACTTGAAGATGGAAGCAGAATCCAGCTTCTGTAACACTGCGGTTTTATTATTTTATGATTAAATAGTTGGACAAATTGCAAAAGAATAATTTTACACACCTGTAAAAAGTTTCTGAAAAACTGGTTAAGTTGCAATCGGTGTTGTCTGGTAACAAAAAAACCAGCTTAAATATCTTTCTTTGCTTAAATTTTTCATATGTATTTATTCCGTGGCGAAACAGCTCCAGAGAGCCAAAGCCGACTAGCTGGCTGCTGGCCTCACGTTCACATGCCTAAGCAGAGGTGAACGATCATCCGACCAGATATAGGGTGATGTGTGGTCAGCACGACGAACCCCCAGCCAATGCTAGTTTCCCTGACCGGATTACGCTACTAATTGTAGCTCCCCAATTTCCTCACGATGCTGGACTGGTCGAAAGCTCATGAGAAAATTCCTTCTCCGCCGAGACTCGAACCAGCGCGCATTCCGTATCGCCGGTCCGAAGCATGACGCCTCAGACCGCGCGGCTATGGCGCGGGACATATGTATTTATTAAACCTGATAAATTCTGTACCACATTTTCATTTAAATGTTACACAAGTAATAAGTTTATTCCCACCTCCCTCTGGCATTGCATACCATCTCATATGCTCCAATCACATGATTGCAGACACAGGACAAGTGACAGAATTATTCGCAATGATCCATGCTAAATACAATGCTAAAATTCACACAACTGATACTAGCTGTGGCCTTGCGTCCAATATATCAACGCAGTAAATGTAGATATTGTACCGTGTGTATCACTGTGTGACACCATGGCTGGAACATTCCATGTTCACCATTAGCGAAAAACCACTATATACCTTTTGAATTTGCCTAATGACATCCCTTTCAGACACTAGCAACAAAACTTTTCATCGGCGCTACCAAACACGTAACAAGATTGGCAGGTTGTAATCTTTGGAGAACACTACGTAAGAGTAAGGTTAGGTTTGGGTCAGATAGGGTGAACTGCACTTACCTCAACTTGTTTGTATATGCCCATGCCAGGATTTAGTATTTTTGAGGGGCATCGCTGACATTTAACAACATGTCTGTTCTTCCCATTTTCAACTTCTTCCTGCAATGGGAATGTTGTGGCAATCTGAGGAGAACGGTGGACCTTCCCTGATGCCATGTTTCTTGCCTTATTTCTTTTTCTTCTGAAACACGTGACTGTGTAGCAAGAAAGAGAAATTGAAAAATAAAACCAATCAGACATTAAGCTATGAAATTAATTTCAATATTGCCATATTTTGGAGGCTAGTATTAAAATGAATCTTAACAACTTGGATGGAGGTTTAATTAGGCTCATGACAGAGAACAGAATCAGGCTCTTGTGAGCATAGTAATGAACCTTACGCTTCAATCAAAGGAAGGAGATTTTTTCATTAACTTGCTGAGTATTAGGTCTCAAGGAGGACTGCATATATTCCATGCAGTTAGTTATTGCAATGTTTTCATATAATATGAGTATAAGTTTTGAATATTCCTCATCGTATCAATGCAAAATTTTTTAGATCATTGCTTTTAGTTATCGAGTCTCCTTCCCTTTATAAAATGTCAATTTCTATATGACCAGTAATGTTTAATGTGACTAAGGTTGAGATTTTGACACAATTTTTGCAGTCAACTGACTGGTCACTGTCAAAAAGATAATAAAAATAGTATATTAGATTAAAGGTGAAAAGTAAAAACTTTACTTTAACTTGCATTTCACACGTACAGTATAAAATACTACCTGGACTTCAGATCAAAAGAAAGAGAAAAATATGCTACAAAGACGGTGGTATTCCTTACAAAAATTTTCTCAGCAGTAAGACAAGAAACAGTAAGTAAATTTATGAAGTAAGTTTCTCACTTCTCCTCCAGTCTTTATCTAGTACAATTAGTTTTAATTACTTTTATTAAAATTAAAATAACTATCAGTCATTAATATCCACTATATTGATTTTAACTATATCCGCATTATATTTAAACATTCAAAAGACTTGTCAGCTAGTGGATCATATAATACAGCCAATTGTATATTAATTATATGTGCCCTTACTATCTATATATCTCAACTTTCAGTCCAAGGGTATAAAAACCTGCTAACTCCTTCCCCCATTTCCATGACAAATCAATGAACTCCCCTATCAAATGTAACAGTTTACTATATTCTCCTCCACCATGCTGTGATCTGTGACACATATTTCATACAACAAATTCAACAAAATCAAGTTCACAGTATCAAACAAATTATAATCATGTGTTATGTTCATTGTAATTGACAGCCATTTTCAAAGCAGTTATTAACTATCTTTGCATAGAATTTTACCAGAGAAGAATACATTCACACAATTCTTAAAATCAATATGTATTGTGATTCCATCAGATGTCAAGTCAGTTACCTGGCTGGCTAGGTCTAATTGCTACTTCAGTGACATAGTAGGTTGCCATATGATGCTTTACTTTAATTTGCTTTGCAGTGTTTGTATCAGGTGTACTAAGGACATACATAAAACATTATACTATAACATGTCTGAGAGTAGACAATGTCATGAATGCATGCTAAAGAGGCTGAATTATATTGTCATCTTATTTATGATGTTTAGGTTGCTCAATGACTATTTTAACTGCACAAGTTATACAGTGTTGAATAAAAATTGGAAAATCAATAATGTCAAATAGATTTCAAAGATAGATTTCTACACGACCAGACGGCATCACAACCCACAAGTAAACACGGTATGTTAGTCGGTAATCCGACCGAAATTCGAATCGATTACCTTGTAAGTCTTGCACTCTCTTGAACACCAGACCAAGGCTTTCCACTACACCAATCTGCTCGAGAGTAATTTTGAAAATGTTCCTGAACAACAAACACTAAATATTCTGTTACGCAAACTAGCAAACTAGCATTTTATATTCCCTGCTCTTCTCTCTGTCTACGTTGATATGTAAAACTTCGAAACATGCCACCAAAATGTACAAGTATACTTAATGTGATACAAACATGAATGTTTAACGTCTTCACTGTTGTCAATCAACGATCATATTCTATAATTTGCTACTAGCAAGTTATCTATTCTTTTATTGTCTGTGAATAATAGGTATAAAACGTAGTCATGAGAGTTCTGAACAGCTGACGTTTTGTAAATTTGATTGAACATGAAAAGATGGGCGAATCTCTACACGAGACACATGAAATAAAACATGAAGCAGGTTCAGACATACATCTCTACATTTTCAGACTTCCAATCAGGAGATTATTCATTTACCATATCCTTCAACGCTGCATATTCTGAGCGGCAGTGTCTTTATACAGACTGCAAACAAAACAAATTATGGAATACCAAATGCGTATATTAATATGAAGTTGTGTGACTCTGAAATTGGAAAATTAATAAATACCTATACGCTTGGTCTTCTAGATTCTCACAACCACAGATATTATGGAAACTAGTAGAAAGCAAAGGTGCCTTAAACACTAAATACTTGATCGCAAAATAATATTTTTTAGTTTCAAAACAAACTGTGGACGTGACAAGTGGCGACGAGTGAATCTCTACACAACATGGATGAAATAAAATATAAACCAAGTTCAAACAACGAGACTACCAGTACACCTTCAGACTTCGAAGACGGAGAACATCATTTACCTGTAACAACACTTTTTATAAAAAGTGAAACTAAAGATGAATCATGGGATAATGTAATAAACAATGAACGCTTAAAGGAAGAGGTTACCATAGAGAAACATGAGTTGCACGTGGACAATGGGGATGAATTAAAACCTAGAAAAGAGAAATGTGAGAATGTGGAAATGTCAAACCAATATGACATGTGTATAATCTTTCAACAACAATATAATACGGAGACTGGACGCAACTGTACAAATTTAAACCAGAAATCAGAAGAATTGTCAAAAGAGAAACGTTATAAATGCGAATTGTGTAATAAATCGTTCTCACAAAGTGGTGCTTTAACGACCCATAGACGTACTCATACAGGAGAAAGACCATACTCATGTGACATATGTAATAGAAAATTCACGCAAAAAGTAACGCTAGAAAATCATTGTCGTGTCCATACTGGAGAGAAGCCCTTCGTTTGTAATATCTGTAACAATAAATTTTCAAAAAAGACGAACCTTAAGTACCATTATCGCATCCACTCTGGTCTGAAACCTTATCAATGTGATGTTTGCAATAAGACATTCTCATTACGCGATCGCCTCAAAGAACACTACCGCATTCATACAGGAGAAAAACCATATGTTTGTGACATTTGTAATAAAAGATTTTCACAGTGTGGAAATTTAGCAACTCACAAGCGCACGCACACTGGAGAGAAACCATATATTTGTGATGTATGCAATATGAAATTCGCAGAAAGCGCGACCCTGAAGACGCACTATCGTATCCACACAGGCGAGCGGCCATACGCGTGCAATGTTTGCAATAAAACATTCTCCAAGAAAGGAAATTTGACGAATCACCATCGTGTTCACACGGGAGAGAAGCCATATTGTTGTGTTGTATGTAATAAAAGGTTCTCTGAAAGTGCAAATTTAAAAAATCATCTTCGTATTCACACAGAAGAGAAGAGATACAGTTGTTATATATGCAATAACAAGTATTCTGATAAATCACAACTAAAAACTCACTATCGTTGTCATACAGACGCAAAGCCATATATGTGTGTGGTATGTAATAAAAAATTTTCTGAAAGTGTAAATCTGAAAAAACATTATCGTATACACACAGGAGAGAAGCCATACAAATGTGAAGTTTGTAATAAACAGTTCACGCAGAGTGGTCACCTTGAAACACACAAACGCACGCACACTGGGGAAAAGCCATTCACTTGTAACATCTGTAATAAGAAATTCTCACAAAAAGTAACTTTAAAGAGACATGGTCGTCTTCACGCAGAAGACACACAAAATTCGAAGACTCGGACACTTAGCTCTGAGAATACTGGAGATCGATTGCATCCAGCATGTTCTGAATTATTAATGGAAAATCAGCAGTAATTTTTAATTTGAGGTTCTCATGGCACCAAATATGAAAACAGCTGTTCTGGGTTGTTGCACTGTGTAGTATGCAATGTTTCAGAGTTGCTTGCTGCTCTGATAATGGAGGCAGCAGTAAGCACCTTCTGAAACGTTGGTACACTTTTACCAGACCACTTGATGTAACAACCCAGAAAATAGCCATCTTCCTCAGCACAATAAAATACAATACTCTGATATTTCTTACACCAGACAGTTGAATTACCCAGACATACTTCTTTTATGTGTATTCATAAGAAAAGCAGATCTGGTTTTCACTTTATACATTAAAAGTAATAATAATATTGTTTATATAAAAAGTCTATTAATCATTACCATAATGCATTCATTAATAAATTCAGTTTTATAGATTACATTAACACAGATAATGTAATTGTACTTATTATACATTTTTAAAACACAGGAAATTTACATACATATAACTAAATGGAACTATGTACTTGTTGTATGTACCACTTGTAGCAGTCACTCATTTCATTGCCAAAGCAATCCATCTAGCACTTAATTCTTCTCATTTCTATATACTGATGACAAGCTCTAGTATTACCAAACTGTTGTGTAAAATAGGACATTGGATCTTAAAATTAATATACAATTTTTTAAAATCATTTCCTACTTTCCATGAGCCTTAATCAAGAAGTTGACTAGTTATATATATTAATTTTTATATTTATAATAATATCACATTATCTTTATTGATATAAAATGTCCTTTAACATTCTATGATCTCCTGTTTGTGCAGTTCACTGTGGAAGCTACAGAATGTCAAATCCTGTTATCAAGAGCATTTTGATTTGCTTTATCTTGTGATACTCAGCTGTCTTGTTTGGTTAAACAAATTTATGTTTCCTTTAGATGAACCTGGCATTACTTTGATGAGGTTCTTTTAGATACAGATGGTGTTTAAAACATTGGAGCACATCATGTTTAATTGTATTAAAGTAATTAGGTATGCAGTATGTAGTTCCTGCAGAGCTCTTTTATAATCTGTCTGTTATAATATTAATCTTTGTCTGGCTGAGTTATATTAGGTATGAACACATTCCATCAAACTGTATAAAATGAAAACAAAGCTTGTCTTCAGAAATTTTAGTTAAAGCAGAATGGAAGGACATGCTTTATATCATCTACATTTACAACAGTTTCTATTTCATACACACATAGTATCACAGTGAGAATATTATGGCTCCATTTTTAAGGAAACAATAATTCTTATTTATACTGAACAAAATTTCATTCATAAAATTTTATGTTGGCACATACCTGTTGAGGTGGTTAATTACAAATAAGTGTAGATATATCAATGTCAGATATCTTGTCCACCCGTGTTCTTGTTTTGAATAATTTTATATAATATTGTAACTTCTATACTTAAAAATAAATTTTTGGTCTGAACTCACTATTTTGACATGCCCTGGACTATCCATCTACTTTACGGTGAAAATATCATATTGCTTTCTTATGGTTTTTCAAGCAAGACATGTAAAACTAGCTACAAATCATTTCCCAAAAGATAGAAAATTAAATAAAAACCAAATTTAGTAATTACTTCCATATTCGCTATTTATTATGATCCTGGTCCCCTGACTGATGAGTCAATGATGCACACTTGAGAATTCCATGAACAAGGAATTGACCATCCAAGCTGGTTTATTGTCCTGACAGACCTCTCTTAACCCCCAACTGGTGTATGACCCCACCCTCCCTTATCAATTGCCATTCTCTGCTGATATGTCATGTTTCATGTTTTTCTTCTGTGCCCCTTCAAGTCTGTGCTTCATCAACTGGTGCATGGAACAGTAGCACTTCAAGTCATATATTTCTTGTGTAATAACTGTTAAAAGTTTTAATGGGGGTCCCACTGCCCCCACAATACTGATTACAGGACAGTTTCAAAGTTATTCCATAATTTTTCTTAAATTATATATATTTCCTTCTCTCACGTTTGCATACTTACAGGTAATGATACTGTCATATATATTAGGTGCCATGGCATCGTCATTAACACATGAACATCAGTGATCCCAATTTTTCTGAATTTATTCTTGGAGTGATAAACAAAGATGACAGCAAAGCAATCGATTATGATGAATCTAATGAAGATTTGCAAAGTGAACATGACACAGAGTCAAAACTAGAGGAGGAAAGGGAACAAGAAGAAGCAGAGGACCATGGTAATAGTGAAGATTTACAAAGTGGAGGTCGAAAGGCATTTTATGGGCAAGAGAACTACAAATTGTCCATTCAAGAACCAAAACAAAATGTACGAACACCTTCTCATAATATTGTCCCACCTACCTGGCATAAAAGGTAAAGCAAAGTCTTTGGGAAATTCCTGTTATGAGCTTCAGGCATGGGAATGTATTTTTTTTCCCCCCTGAAGTTATGTTGGAAGAAACTGTGCGATGTACAAATGAAAACATTTAATCCTACAGACAGAAATTCTGAAATCAGGGGAGAACTGAACTGATGGACACAAACATTGTTTTCAAATCTAACCCTGAAAATGTATAGTCTATTTTTGGGACTGATGAAACTGGCAGGGACATATTCCATTACATATTGTCTCTCAAAAGAGTAGTGATTCTCCTGGCTTGCTTGCGTTTTGACAACGCATTAGATCGAGATGAATGGAAGAAAACGGATCCTGCTGCTGCTATTCATGGGTTTTTGAAATGATCATAGAATTCTGTCTGTCTTTGTGTGCATACATGCGTGTAGGTAAAGTAATACTCCACAACTACATGTCATATATATATATGATCTGAGCTGTATGTGCTGTGGTGTATCATTGCAGAATGATATCCCACCATACCCATCATTCTTGGACATACTGTATATATTGCACTGGCAAAGACAGAAGTGGAAGGGAAACAACTATTTCTTTCAATTTGTTGTTCACTGGTATTCTGATTGATGACTACTTTTGTTCATTAAAAAAATTTACTGGATTGTGTGTGATTTACAAACAATAAATTGTGCATTATGTATATTTTGGTATCCACTTTGATTCGCTCTTGCTTTGAGTTCTATATGGAAGGTTTGAAGCATACAATTGAATTATATAAAAGTGCATCATTTTAATGAATATTTGTGTGAATACATCAAATGCATTAAAAAAATATACATACATCTGCACTCAATCTTCTTACATGAATCATGAATCATTAGTACCCTACTCTAATGACTATAAGGGAATATGGGCAACCAAGGGATGTACTGTAGCCTTCACCTTCATTTTGCTGTCAGACTTAAACACATTAACGCAATTTTTTTCTTAAAATTAGGTAGACATATTGGTGTCTTTGCTGAATAGACTTGTGGCACAATTACAATTAACCAAAGACAGAGACGCCACAGACAGACAAATACAAGGACTTTATGGATGACTGGAATTATGATGACAGTCATAAAATTATATAATTTCCAAATGAAGACTTAAAAAATGTCAACCACTTTATTCTTTTATCACAGTGTTCAAAACACTAAAAAATGTATACTGCCCAAAAAAATAGTGTACACTAATTTCTAGTTTCATGTAACAGAAATATTCTGTACATATAATATTTTACAACATGTGTACCTCTTTATGAGTACTTGTAATGAGATGCACGTTTACAGAAAAAGATAAAATATCTATACATATGAAATGTCAGTGTAATATTATACAAAAGACTGTTTTTGTGTCAAAACAAGAATTTATACAAAAAAGTATTGTAAATTTCATACCTAATCAACAATGGTTCAATAAAAATAACACTTATCTGACATGTACATGGTTCAGATATTAAGTACAGTTCGACTGAAGTTTTATTGTAGTCACGACATACTGACATAATGAAAGAAACCATCCTTTCTAACTTACCTTAATCATATCATCACTACATATCTTGTACACTTGAAATCGCATAATTAAGTAGCATCTCTCTCTGAGCGTTTCCTTAGTATTCTTGTTAAATGCTACAAACCACCTTCAACTTGCAGCAAACAATACTCTTATCTGCATAGGACCAACCTCTGCTACCTGAGGAATGTAGCAGAATTCACTGTGGTACATACAAGAACCAAAATATGCTCAGGATTCAAAGCTGTGGCCATGAAGGTCAGTGACCTAAAATAGAGTTATATCATATCAAAAGTAGAAACCAACACAACTACTCCACAGTGTGAGTGCGAATATGGCTTACAAGATTACCACGACATCTGAAACTCATAGTGCAGAACTCACATGTATAAGGCTTCTCACCAGTATGTATACGTTGGTGTACCACTAGATAACTTGAACGAGTAAAATATTTATTACAAATTTGACATTTGAAATGCTTCTCTCCAGAATGCATACGTCTGTGAGTATCAAGACTTCCTTTCTGTGTGAAAGAATTATTGCAAATTTCACATTTGAAAGGCTTCTCTCCTGTGTGAATAAGTCGGTGCCTGTCAAGATGGCTTTTCTTTGTGAAACATTTACTGCAACTGTTACATTTATAACGCTTCTCCTCCGTGTGTAAGCGTCGGTGTTTGTTAAGAGCACCTTTATGTGAGAATGATTTATTACAAATTTCACACTTGACAGGTTCTCTAGGGTGCATGTGTTGATGACCGACAAGTTTCCATTTTTCTGGAAATGATGAACCACAGATTTCACATTTGTAAGTCTGTCCTACAATTTGAGTGTTTTTATTTTTAACTGCATTCTCATTCATTTTACTCCCATTGTCACTCAATTCAGAGTGAACTTCGATCACTTTTTGGCTAATGAAATTCACATCCTTAGTACTGAAATCACCATCTGCATCACATTTCAGGTCATGGTCAAGATGTGGGGCAAGCTGCACTGTAGAATAACCTCCATAAACTTCCTGTTCATGGGGTAATTGGTCATCACTGTGAAGAAAAATAAAAAGGAAATCTTCTATTTTTTATTATGCTGAAAACTTCAAATGGGACTTAGGAAATGTAACACATTAAAACAGTCAATGAAAAAAATTGCACAAATTTCTGTAAATTGCAAAGTGCCAAAATGGTAAAATTTACAGGTGTTTGTTTCTTCATCACCTTAACCATAAAGGACGCTGCGATAACCTTTCTTGATGATCAGCCATTCTTACCATTTTTACAGTGTTGTACCCAACATACTTAACAATAAATATAAACAACCGTGAAAGTGTAATCCACCGTGCAATGAAATGATGGGGAAAATTGAAGCTAAGAAGACTACCTTATTCTTGAATCATTATGTTTCTCCTGATGTGAAAACCCTTCTTCTTTACACCAAGTAACTGTGATGGGAATAACGAATATAATTTTGTAGCTTAAGTGCGTCATGTTTGTGTTGAAACCAAATATATATTTATTATCACAGTCTATACACAAACGTGTTTAAAATGTTGTTAAAATTTATATAACACTATAACATCTGTAGTATAAAATATTACAATAAGTTATATTATGTTATATTATGGCGCTTTTATCGTAGTATGATGTTACATTTATTATGGCGCTTATTATTAATTGTACGACATGTTTCGATGTTTTATGACATCATCTTCAGGTTTTATATCGTCATTTTTATCATTTTAAAACTATAAAAATGTTGTTAAAGAAGTAGATTTTCTTATCACTCACCACTTTCCTAAATATGGGCATTCCTTTCTTTTTTATAAAATCTCATGTTTGGCCTGATTAAAAACTGAACAGGAATAACGAATACCTGAACCTCTCATGGTACTGACATTCACTAGTTCAGAATGTCCAACAGAGGATTAATAATGTGATTCTACCTCAAAGTTAAACTCAGAACTAAAATAAAGACAACGAAATGTTACTTTAATGTCTTACCGGTTCCTTTGTTTCTGTCCAAACATGTGTTAATGGGATTCCTACAGTGGTTGTGCTTTTCTTTTAGATACTTATATATTTTCTATGTAAATTATAATTATTTGTATTGACAGTAATAACTATAAAACTCCATGACTTATATTTCTAAATAAATAAATAATGAGAAAATTTGAGTAACAATATTAATAGCACAAAATAATTCCAGTTATATATAATTTAATGCAGACACATCCATCAGCCCAAGTTAGTTTATAAAAAAATCAACATTTCAGGGACAAATTCCATCCCTATCATCAAGATTTGATCACACCAAATCCTGACGATGAAGATGGAGCTGGTGCCCGAAACATCAATTTATTACAGAGTGATATGGCTTAGAGCACATAAGATTTTATTTAATGTTAGTCGCTGTGACAACTTTAGATCATGGATTAACTATGTCTGGATAAAGTCCAGTCGGCAAACCACTGTGAACAAAGCAATGAGCCTTTGGGTTCCATAAAAGATGGTAAAGCAGCTTTTCTCAAGACAGAGCTGAGTCAATAATTTTAAAAAATGAATGTGAACTTTTATGACAAAGTTCACGATGGTACACTCACCCTTCCAAACAGTCCCCATGTTCTTCTTTTGTTATTTCATCTATCTGCTCTTCCTTGATTGGAGTAACGGCCCATGGCTCTTCCTGGGATGCAACAAACCCAATCAGCACGGCACACAGTTAACCCTTCCGAGATCATTCCCATCTTTTTTTAGCCATATGGTGCACCAACATCATCAAAAAAACTTTTCATTCCATAAATGTTTATGATGCAGACTCTACTTCAGTACCACTCATGTTTAACAAATGAGAGACGGACCTTTCATACAACACAACGTCTTTTAAGAAACATTAACCTCCACAGGACAGCTCAATGATAAACGTGCACGTGATACAATTTCTAACATTTTACATGTTTTTAGTCGTTTCATTTATTGAAATGTTCCAAATTTAACAGGGAGATGAAACAAAGCAGGATATCATAACTATTTATTCATTTATTCTTCATTAATGTATCTGGCAATAGGAGGAGTAATCGATGTTGTTCCAGCAGCTTCATCCACTTCAAATGACACATGACAACGCTTGACACGTAACACAGCTTAGCTTTACAATTATGAAGCTGTTTCATAAAAAAAACATTTTCAATCAATACATTCATTCCTTAACAGTGCAAGTGTAACTGCTCAGTGCTTAATTACATAATTTTCTTATGTTTCTGTTTCTAAGCTATGGTATCAGATCATTTTACACGATTATTTCGACCGTTCATACCATAAATCAGAAAACCTACCACTTCCTGCTTCACAGCGACAAAGGAAAATGGGACACCTTCCTGTTCTACACCCGAGAGATGATCTTCTTGCCCTGGTTGAGTCTCAATATCTACATTGCACTCCACTTTCACAACACAGTTGTCCTGTAACATAATTATAATTATTGTTGTTGTTGTAATAATCATCATTGCTGTTTTATAATTATTTACTGAAAGTGAGTGGTCGGCGTCATGCCCCGGCCACACTTTACCCCCGGGAAAGGACCCCAATACCCACTGGATAGGGAGGCTGGATGGGCCGCAGAGCCGATCTGGACGCAGAGGCTAGAGGAAAAATCTTCTGCCCCTGTCAGGGATTGAACCCGTGTCATCCAGTCTGTAGCCAGTCACTATACTGACTAAGCTACCCTGGAAAAACTTATTAATACGCATGATAAATTTGTACTTCCTTCCACAACAGGATGTTGGAAACATGACAGTGTTATAATTTCATCAAATATGCATGGAAAATTGAAAATGAATGATGTGAATGGAAACATTTAAACCTGGTCATTTAAATTGTTTAAAGGGCAGAAAATTGTCAAATAAATTGTAGTCTATTACAACAATTTTTAATCTAAAATTTTTTAATAAAATGTAGGCTATTAGGGATGAAACAGGATGACATAAAGACTCGAGTGAAAGGTGATTTGACAGCTGTAGTATGAAAAGACAAACAATATGTAGACATGTTGAGAAATATGCGTTGTCCTCCAGCATGGGGTAATTTCTGGTAAGTGGTAAAGTTTGCCTTGAATTTTAAATGCTGGTTTGAAATTACCGTCACATACCTTTCTAGAAGCTCCAAGAGAAGTCATCTGGAAATCACTGTTGTACATTCTCATGTGCCCCAAGAAGCGATCTGAATGAGAAGAAAATGCGTTCGGTGGTTCAGGGAGCTCTCCTCTACACACTGAAAATAAAACTTTCCATTACAGAAACACCATACGTTTCACCACTGCACTTGTCTGCCAGTGACCACATAGTATATAAATATTTAATAAAAATTGATTTATGAAGTTCAGAACAAATTCATGGGTTACAATGAAAGATGGAATTTTCCCTACTTTCTCCCCAAACTAGTTCTATTACAGAATTTTCCTCAAAACTCAAACCACTTGTCACATGCGCACTACCCTTTTTTACTCTCCTTTCCTGTTCCTTTCTTTCTTTCTGCAACATCTCTGTTCCTTCCTGAGTTTTCATTTCACTGTGTTGGCCTTGATGTACATCACTTTTCTTCTGAATCATCCTTGCTTTCTCATTCCTACCAATCAGATTAAGTTTCATCATGCTTTTTTTATGTCATCCTCGCCTTATCCTCACTTGTCACTCAGCTGCATCTGTTTCTTGCAGGAATCCTCATTTTCATTAACATCCTCACTTTTTCCTCACTGTCATTTGACTGCATCTGTTTCTTTAAAATCTTTCTTTTTCTGCAGTATCCTAGTTTTCTCTTAACCAGTTACATATTTCCTGTTTTTCTAGCATCTCTTTTCTTCTGCAGCATCCTCATGTTGCTTCATCTGTGGTTATTGGATGTATCAATCCAGAATGCATGGCAACTAAAATGAATCACAGGCTCCACCATGACACAATAAGATTATAAAAAGTTGAAAGAAGGTACCTGATGTCTTTTGCAAGCATACCAAGGAGTGATCGATGGCCATCTATATCACAGAGCTACAGCTGTAGCAGAGCATCACACAACGTGAGGTTTCACAACAGACCAATCAGTGAGTCTGATTTTAAGGAACAAGAGGTAACAATGTGTTAGAGAAAACTGTAAATCTGTTGGACAAACATCATATGCTAAGCGTTAGTGTCTACATTCCATGATTTTTCACTTTCCACATCAAGACATATAAAGTTTTTACTTAAGAATATTATAACACATATGTTTATTTCATGTAATAAATAAATCAAACAAATGTATTTTCATCAGTGAACATTCGAAACAATAAATTAGTATTTACCAGTGCTATTTAATTTTCCACTCTAACAGATGTTAAGGAATGGACTAACATGATTTTACATGTCGCGTAGAACACAATTCCGTGAAATAAACTTTCTTTCCAGCGAATATTGCAATAATATTTTCCGTATTTTGAATTTGTAAGAGCCTCGTATAACCATACCTTGTATTTCAGCATCTGAATTTCGCATACCGAAATGAAAGTTTATATGTGATGTAATAGCTAATTGTGACAAGCTTATCCAGAAATTTAACAAAACTCACGTCAGGAAGAACGTGTTTTATGGGTTAATAAAATGGCAAAACGATTGATTGCCTGCTTTCACATGGGAACCACATTAAAGTACGTAATGGCACACTATTTTATCTTCCACATTCATCTTTAAAAATTTCATAATTATGGTAATAATGGTTGAATATAAAGAAACTTAACCTCTTACAGAACGCATGAAATTTAGCCCACTTGAAAAAGAGAAAATACACAACTATTCTATCTTACCATTAAAGTAGTTAAAAATACTTTCTCTTCGCTCTAGTTTTTCTTAAGACAGACGACTGAAATGATAATGGGAATTTATTGTCATATTACTAAGAATATGGATTCCAATTTAAACACGTTCACTACTGTTCGGAGTATGGGCACATTGGGCCAACATACAGATCCGTAATTCAAGGTTGGCAACGTACGTGGCATGTGTTATTTTACACACACATGCTTGCACATAGCCTGTCTTGCCATCTACCCGCACCAGTTGTCAAATTATTATGAAACCGGTCAGACGATAACAATACCATATCTTACGGTCTATCCGCAGCGGTTGTGAAACTACTATTGAACCACTACGACGATAATTGGCATTAAACCATATCTTGCTGTCTATCCACAGAGGCTGTGAAACTACTATGAAACCATAGGATTTGAGGATTTCACGGCGGTGAGTCTGAAGTTGGCTGTCTTCTGGGTTGTTGCGCCGTGTATACTGGTATAAGTGTACCGACGTTTCAGAGGTCCTTGGTGCCTCCATCATCAGGGCAACAACCCAGAAGACAGCCATCAAGAAATTTTACTTTGGGTTACATACATAACCCAGGCATTGCATGAGATTAAATCTGTATAACAGGCGAGTTCCAAGCCCTAAAGTCTGAGGAGCATTTCTCTATATTTCTTCTGGGTGCAAGATACATGAATGGCTTCAAATAGGCAACACAGTATTAAAATTAATTACAGACTTTGACTCTGATGCCCACAAATTTGAATATACCATTTCTCCTCCTCCTCAAAGTGACAGTGACACTGAAGAAGACAGAGACAGGCTACACAGAGTGGATTGACACTACAAAATCTCAACCTTCTGTACCTATGATAGTCCCTTTGGGTTAAGACAAAATGAGGCACCAAACATAAAGACACTTCCACACTGAGATTTGTTTCTTGAAATTATGCAACTGATGGTAGAAGAGACAAACAGATATGACCACCAATACTTGGACACATTCGATAAAGAAAACTCCCCACTGCCTTGTGTAACTATACAGAAATGTACTTATTTTTATCTGTTAGTGTGGGTCACAAACAAAGATTACTCATCCTCACTTTTCCAGTTCTTTGCGACATTTATGGAAACAATGAAATGTGATTCTCCAAAATATTGAGACTTTTACATTTTTTTGCCAACAAAAGTTAACCTGATAAAGAGAGATGAAAATTATGACAGGTTGTGGAAAATGATAACTATTCTACATTAGATGGCTGTCCTCTGAGTTGTAGCCATCTTTGGACTCATTACCGCAAAAACCTCAAATCCTACTTACATTCTTGAAAGCTTCAGTGATGCTTGTGATAAATATTACAGCCCAAGTGAACATTTAGCAGTTGATAAAGTCATTATATTTTTCAGATGCACAGTTGTCTTGAAATAGTTTTTCCAAAGAAACAGATGGTTTGGGATAGAAATCTACAAGCTATGTGATTCTAAGAGATATACATTCAACAAATCAGCAAAATTAGGCAAAGACTACAAACAGAAAGAACAGAACACAAATCATTCACAAGATTAAGATAAAGGGACATAAAAAGTGAGATACTGTAATAATAAATGCATTGCTCTGTACCAGACACAAGATTTTTACATCACAATCAGACAGGATGCAAACAGAGGGCAAATGTATTTTTTGCATGAAAGTCGTATAAGAAACCACTTGGAAACTATGCAGAAAATGCAATCGTATTAAAATTAATTCAATGTAATATTTTATAACAAAATAGATGACAAAAAAATTAATTGTATTTCAAGAATGGTACAAAAACCTAGCTGAATACACTAATTTCTAACACCATGTGAAATATTTTGTGCTTACATTTATGAGAACTTAGATTGTGATTCATGTGTCAGAAAATGTTTTTATTCAATGTATCTTGACAGACTGATGCAACCATATTTTTCAACTTCCTTTAATCATCTTAGCACTTTGTAACTTAAAAGGATTATAGCAGATTCATCATGGTTGAGGAAAACATAAAAAAATATGCACAGAATTCAAAGCTGTGTCCATAAAGGTCAGTGCCCCAACAAGAATGTTTTACAACAATCCCAATTCATGTCAACTGTTAAATAATCTACAAGTAGAAATCAACACTACTACTCCACACTGTGAGTACGGATATGGCTTACAAGATTACCACGACACCTGAAACACTTACTGCAAATTCACATGTATATGGTTTTTCACCAGTGTGTATACGTTGGTGTACAGCCAAGTAACTAGATCGAGTAAAATATTTATTACAAATGTCACACTTAAAATGTTTCTCTCCAGAATGCATACGTCTGTGAGTATCAAGACTTCCTTTTTGTGTAAAAAAAAAAAGTACTGCAAATTTCACATTTGAAAGGCTTCTCTCCTGTGTGCGTCCGTCGGTGTCTATCAAGGTGACTTTTCTCTGTAAAACATTTATTGCAGTTGTTACATCTATAACGCTTCTCCCCAGTGTGTAAACATCGGTGTTGGTTAAGGCCACCTTTATGAGAGAAGAATTTATTACAAATTTCACATTTGTATGTCTCTCCTGCAATTTGAGTGTTTTTATGTACAAGTGTATTCTCACTCATTTCATTCTCAATGTTACTCAATTCAGAATGAGCTTAAACATTGTTAACGTATTTCATCCATTTCTCCGACTTCTAATGAGTCGGTATCCTACACAGACTACATCCAAGTTCTACAAGGTGTCTTGTTTTCCAACGTAAAATGTGAAAAAGATAAAATTATTACTTCTACCTTGTAACAAGTCTTTAACCTCTTAGCTGATAATGAAACGTATTGCACTTCAACGAATTATTTTTTCTTTATTCCTGCCTGTACAACTTAAGACATCCAGGGCATAAGTGCTATGCCATGGTTTGAAATGCAGATGACAGTCGAAGGAATTTAACATCCATATTTTATCATTTCGCCTAATCAAATCGTCTGCTAGCGACAAGATCAGACACGGAGGGTTAGGCCCGTTTCACACATATACGGCGACCGTCCAAACGGCACCGTTGAGTTTTCACATGCACCGGTTCCGTCTATAGGAAATAGTCTGCTTATTGCTTGAACCAGTTGAAGTACTCGGCCTGTGGTTGGACAATTGTGGACGCACGTTCTGATAGAGATGGCCTTCAGTTGATGTTGTCTCCTGCCGACTAGTGTTTATGCGTGTAGGATGAATTTCAGCAGAGTACTGAGTGTAGGAAACCATTTTTTTCCGTTGTTTCATGGATGTTATTTTTTGTAGCACCGACATTTGTAATTCTAATATCTCGTCGTCATCAAAAGTGTTCAATGAAGGAATTATCCCTCTGAAAAAAGACAAATGACGATCCGATTGATCCTTAGGAGCTTGAATCATTTCTAGTTCAACATTGTCTGATTTACGTTTTCGTGTTACTGCCGTTTTGAAATCCTTAGCGATTGCTTGAGTAACTTCGTTATTAGAGGTGTTTTGAGGTGTTTTCTCGTTTGCCTCTTCCGGCTGTCCAATATCGGCTGATGGGGTATCTTCCGTTTTGCGTTCCAGGAACACGTTCCTTAGGAATTGTAACTGTGCATTGTAAATGTACGTTTTTGTAGTTGGCTTTCCAGCTCCCGATCTTGTAGCCTCTTTTTGTTTTTTAATAGATTTTTGAAAAGCATCTCGAACATTCACCCACCTCTTCATCACTTCTTTAGCTGAAAAAAAAACCATAAGAATAAACTAGATTCATACCAATCAACTAAAATATGCTAGCTAATTTCGACATGCTAGAACTATTATTATTATTATTATTATTATTGTCATTATTCTAAGCTTTTTTCGTTATTAATGCTTTTGTTTCAGATATCTGGCAGGCGGTTGTAAATGTCTCCCAGGATCAATAAGTCGTAACCTAACCTTATTTTTTGGTGGGAGATGAAGCATTTGGGCTACACAAACACCTACTTCGTCCGTGTGGTGGACATAACTTGACAGTAAAACAAAAAGTTTTCAATTATCGTCCATCTAGAGCCCGAAGGCACATAGAATGCTCGTTTGGAATATTAAGTAATAAATGGAGGATCTTTCATCGAGCTATAAACTTGCAACCTGATTTTGCTGTAGACATTGTCAAGGCTTGTGTTGATATAATAACTTGACATAAGTTAGATCCACATCTCCAATATGTTCACTGTTATTAATAGTTCTATTTAGTCTAAGCCTTTGTAACTTAAGTAAGTTTTAAGATATGGAAGATAAGAATAGGTCTAATGAGTCATCAGGCAAGTGTGGCTCCTGCCAGGAAAAAGTCAGTAAAGGTATATTATGTGACAACTGTAATTGGTGGTTCCACTGGGAATTTGCCAACACCACTGTTAATAATATAGATGTAGCTATACGTATATTTAATTGTAGAACAATTCATTTTACTGTAGAAAGTTTAGTTTTAACAATGGTCAACATAATGAGAAAAAAATTGTTAACAAATTGCAACGATTGTGTAATAAAACTTTTTCATTACATTTCAATTCAAACAATTATAAAATAAAGAATAAAACCTACCATAGATATTTTTTTCTTTGTCTTCCAGCTCCTCAAAATCACTTTTCAGTTCTACGAAAACTTCCCTCCAAGCATTTTTCGTTTCCTTTCTATCTTTGTATAAAACACTTGTTTTGTCCCAAAGTACTGACCTCGCTTCAATTAAAGAAATTAGATAATCAATATCAACTTGTACATTTGTCATATTGCGTGATATAAATTCACATTCACTGATTATTACTTCACAAGGTTGGTACATAAGTTACAGAACTCTCACGTGTGAAGGAAGCCATTAAACTGTTCACTAGATTACCAAGTGGTACGCCGTTAGGACGGTCACGGCCGTATAGACGGTACTGGTGCATGTCAAAGCTCTCGTATAAGCCGTTAGGACGGTCACGGCCGTATAGACGGTACTGGTGCATGTGAAAGCTCTCGTATAAGCCGTTTGGACGGTCGCCGTGTATGTGTGAAACGGGCCGTAGAGGTCGGCAGCTAGAAGACAGGAGAGGTTAACTAACTCTATGAAGCAGCATCCTTCTTGAACAGCTGTCTTCACTAAACTATTCATGACATTCTCTGCCTTTATGAACCTGAAAGTTCCATACTTTTTCCCAAAATTTGTTTGTGAAGCAGTCTCCTTCATGGTTTCAGACCAAGGATCAAAACATTTTCATCTTTCTGAAGCATGGATACCCCATCCTTTGTTTTGTATACCTTAATATTATTTAGTAAAGAATACATCATGCAGTTCTTCCTAACTTTGTTATCTTTCTGTCAGAAAATGTCAACAAAACACAATTTACTTCTAAATTACTTTCAAGACTTACAGAGCATTTACCTCCCAGAACTACACAATCAGTGTGTGGCATTTCAGTAGTGCCTGATCAAACAACCAACGATCGCCACTAGTCGACAGCAACCACTTATTCAGAAATACACACCACAAATCACTTCACCATCGCCCACATCTCATAATCGAGAACTCAAAATATCTACTGTAATGGCACGATTTCCATTATGCATGGATTTAGGCAATTAGGAGACAAGTCGCTGTAGTCTGAGCTACTAAAAAAGTGTCATTAGACAAACTACAAATAAATAAGAGGCCACACTGTGCAAGACTGGCAGATGTGTGACAGTATGCACGATGATTGTCATGAAATCTCGCAAGACCAAGACCAGCAACATGTACAGCGACTGGTCGTCACAAAATCACGAGACTAGCAAGGAATGTACGGCGTTTATGCTAACCACTATAACCCATGTCTTTTGAACTAAAAAAATATTTAAACAAGACTATTAATTGCAGGAAAATCAACTTATAACTCCAATGTGGCTTATAAATGTGACTTTATTTATTCTTAAAATTCAGGTGCGGTTTATATATGCATTTGACTCATTAATCTCACAAATACATTAATCTGTCAGGACATTTGGTCTCGGATAAAATGTGAAGTGCTGACACACCCAAAGCTGCATGCTCTGAAATCTGTAAAAATTTGTGTTCTAGTCAAAAATAATTCTTCACCTTTCCATTTTCAATAGTTTTTCGAAAAACTGATATTTAATTCAACCTAAGGCCAGTGTCGTTAGAAGTCTGAAATTTAAATCTGGCTTGCAGTCAGAACCTTAAATTCAGTTTGATAAGGTACCAGATTACATACAAGTTTTCTTTTCTCAATGGTCACCAGGTTCATTTTCCATTATTACCAGAAACAGTTACCATGGTTTTCTCCGCATCAGATATTACGGCATACACTGACACCTGTTACAGAATTGAATACATATACATTATAAAAATACATAATTCTTTCTGGACCCAGCTTCACTACTTCCAGTGTCACCCATCAGTACGACCAAGATGCAAACAATGATTTATAATACAGTCATTTCAATATAGCATAAACACTAAAATGTATAAACTAAATGCACTTATAATAGTTCAAAGTAGGTACAAGATTCTATAGCCCCCCCCCGCCCCCCAACAGTTCTGTAAAGTGTGGCCAAATTAAACAATTACCATCCATCGTCTTGCATAAATCCTAGGTGTACCTCACATACAATAGCATAAACAAGTGTTCAATTAGTTGAAGGTTCAACGAGTTTTGAAATGTGTACTCTTGAATGAATCTAATATATCAGAGAAATTCCCGTTCACATGGAAATAATGAAGTTAAAAACTAAAATTATGCCATATTCTCCAAGGATAAGTGGCACTAAGGCAATGTTCTACGTAAGCAATCACAAGCGAGCGGCATAAGCGGTGTGAATGGTCGGACAAAGTCAGTTGACATTTCCTGCATGGGAGAACGCAAGAGGTGACCAAGGCACGTTCAACATCATGTCATGGTCAGCGAAACACGATCTTCAGCTGTGCGAAATTGTTTTTCTGAAAATGTTGATTGTCAGAAAAAGGAAGGGAACTCCAAGAAACGCTATCTACACGGAGAGGGAAGTGTACGGTGAATTTCACCATTTGTTTGAGGAACTGAGAAATAATTCAACAAGACCAAAACTCTTTCATGAATACGTAAGAATGCATCTGCTTTTCACTTCATTAATTATAATTTTCGATAATGTTCCCGTCACTGTTATGAAATGCAGAACACACAGCTTGCCAGTGCCCGAGACTTCCCTGTACTGTACGGCAAGCACAGCAAACTGCCGCGATTCGCGCAAAAAATATCAAAATATCTGATCTCGTCAACCGATCGGACTTTGGCCGCTTCGCTCTCCCGACCGCTTCACCAGTACAAAGGACAGTGCCACACGAATAGCCATTTTACTATTTCCGTGTCAGCCGGCCTCCCACGCTGCTTGCATCTGGTCACTCACGTAGGACGACGGGTAAAACAACAACTCACAAAGGCTTCAAAATGCAATCCTATCACCCAAATACAAATTCATAGGTACCACTACCACGTGACATGTGGATGGCTTGTACTGCAATGATGTCAGAACATCACAAAATTTAATCCCATAAATTAAAAAAAAAAGAAAAGAGAAATTTAGATATCACAATAATAGTCCTCTGTGATCAGACAAATAATCTGAATTTTCTCTCAACGCTGGTAATTAGATGGCAATCAGATGGAAATGATATGTACCGATGTACCACGAACAACACTACCCAAGTCATCTGCCCCGTGTACAGTACTACTAACGTCAAATCAAAAATTTAGTTCATAAAATCTGAGAACACGTTCTTCAACATAATAAATGTGCATTTTATTATACTGCGCCAAGATCGACGGACATCTATAAAATCAACAGATTTGCTTATTTTTCAGCTGTATGGAAGATATAAAGTGGCAATTTATAAAAGTAGATTCAGTCTAGAAATTAATGTTCATATTATAGGATGCAAACGCTTATTTAAATTGCAATCATGTGGAAATTAAGCTGAAGGGAAGTTCTTAACCAGCAGCGCAGACTTCAAATGTGATAGATGTAAGACAGCAGCCACTGTTGGGTACCGATACAAATGGCAATCTAGGTTTTAAATATGATTATAGAGGTTTAATATCTGTATAAATATTACATTTGTAAGTTTAATATAAAAAGTTGGCATACTAATCATTCACAAAATACCCAACAGCGTTTACTGGTTTCATCTACGTACGAGCTCACGCTACCCGTGTATTATGGAAACATACATTAATATAAAATTTCATAACACACAAGTAACTGAATTATATCCCTTAACTGCAAAAAATTTCATATAGTTTCTTCAGTGTCAATCAAAATTTAAAAAAAAAAATGCAATAAACAACTGTTTTAGTACCCTGTCAAAGCCAGAAATATATCTTCTTCAAAAACTCTTATTACAGAGGCCTCAGCCATGAGTTTTGATTAATAACAATTTACAAGTGTAGCCAAAATCACAGGCTCGGGAGGGACCTGAGAAAAATTCAAACACCAGGGCCTAATGAGACCACGGCATATTTTATTTTTAATATCTTCAAATTCAAAAACTATCTCATGAAATTATCTGCATTCATATGAGGATTTCATGGCAGATATATGGATTGTGAAATCCTGGTTTATAACATGTAGTCTTGTAGGTAGCTACCAATGTTTCAAGAAACTTCTGTCATGAAGATGGATGAGACAGGTTCCTCTGAAACACCTGTAGATTACATGGCATCACATTCCATAACTACATCCAGACTTTGTTAAGTTGACAATTGGTCTTTGGGAAGGTAAAGAAAAATGTACACAGTCACTTCAGGAAAATACAGCCCAGACTTAATAAAAAAGATCGTTTGATAATGCCAATCGAGCATTCTGCACTACGTCAATCTCTTATGCTGTAGGCTTTCTGACACACAGGATAAACGCTTGTCCACACGTAAAGTTTTTTTTTTACATACGTAATACCTGCTTTCAATGTCTGGTAAGTTCAAATTCCTTCCAAAAATCATATTTCTTTTATTTCTCAAACTAATTCAAGGTGAGAAAGAACACACAATGTTCAAATTTAACGAAACACCGTAAACTGCTTCAACTGGGGCAAATTACAATACTACTCCACATCAGTGCAAAACACAAGAGATGGCATATAGACCTTGAATTTCAAATTTCAGGAAGGATGTGCCACTGAAACTTTTCAAAAAAAAAAATGGGAGAAGGAAAAGAAACCGGCTTCCTGAAAACAGAGAACACCCAGCGATTAATTGTGAAGCATAAAAGTGCTTTAACTAGAGGGCTCCAACCTCTTGAGGCTCTCAATACCCTCCATCATTTGATTTTTGCTGGCAGGCATCTCTACTGTTATTCTGACTTCGTTTCCTCCATGGGAGTACAGTCTCTTCAACCGGGCTCGTGTCCTTGTGAGACACTCTGCCATTTCCAACCACGTGAACAGTTTCATTCTCTTCTTCAGGCTGTAGATCAACCGACTGCAGACGTATCCCAATCTCCTGCTTTATGTCTAAGCAGACTGTACCAACCCTTTCCTCTGCAACCAGTTTTGGAACAAACGTGGTCCATTCATTTGTCTTCTCATCCAGGTACTCAATACTGTTAAGGAAAGTTTTGCCTGCAAAACAATCAAATCAACCTCAGAAATAAGAATGAAAAACCTTGTTATAATTTAAAAAAAAAAATACCTCTAAAATAAGACTATCCGTGTTTCTTAAATAACAAAGGGGGAAAAAAAAATGCAGACTGCTTGAGTGTTCATATAATTGCAGTATAAAATTCTTCTATCTCTCCAGTTTCCCATTTTCCATAATCCAATAGAGATAATTAAGGACATTATTACACAGCCTTTCTATTAGCTACTTCATTACTTCAATATAATTTATTTAATTTATAAAAAAAACCACATGAAAAATGGGTATTTTGTTGCATATATCCATCATGTTCTCAGAAATGACGTATGTTAATACTTGACGATTAGATCTTTCAATGTAGTCGCAAACTTTTTCCACCCAAAAGATTTAAACCAACACGTTTTAATGGATGGAAGAATGCAGGCACGCAATGATAACCACAGTAATTGGTAAAGAATTTCTTCTTAACTGTTGTTAAATTCAAGCAGCAGGGAAAATAAAATGATTGCTACCTCCAACATAATTCATCAAATTAAGGACACTGCACGTTTCCCCACCACAGTTGGAGTGTCACTACATAATTTGGTACTCAGCTCGTAGATCTTACATAACTGAATGTAGATTTCTGAACTACTTTAACACTCCTCATAATATAACAGGTTTACAAAATACAAATGTACGTCAAAAATTAAAGAAAACTTCATTACAAGGTTAGACAAAATAATCAAAGAGTAGTCCAACATATACGAATACTTTTCTCGTTCCTCTGTTGACACAATTATCGACAAAATGAACCGTCGATGTTCCGTAACTTCTCTAGATTTCGCGCGCTCCAACCACAAAAGCGGATCACAGATCACCGTTCTTCTCGCATAAATTCTATGCACGAAGGAGTCGTGTTAAATACCATCACTACTCAAAAAAAAAAACAATTAAAACCAATTATGTGCAAACGAGGGAAGAATCATCTTATTTATATCCGACATATTTTCGACAATTTCATATTTGAGGTAAACTAAAATTGCCTTTACATTTTAACTTTCTCTCTTTTAATTAACCAAAATCCTGATCATACCTGAAAATCCTCCAACTGCATACAGCCGACTGCCTATAACTGCAACTCCCACGTTGGCTCTCGCTGTCGTCATGTTGGGACCCGGAGTCCAGATTTTCTCTTGTGGATCATAGATCTCAGTTGAACACAGGGAGTGTGTGCCATCTGACCCTCCAACAGCATAAAGCCTTCCTAGAATATATATCATTCAGACATACTAACATAACTTTATGGAGAGAAAAAAAAAGTAGAAATTAGAAACAAACGCTACAGAACCATGTTTGACACAAAAACCAAATTTAGGCAAAGACCAACAAAACTACCTTTGAAAACAGCAAGACCACACCCTCTCCTTGCAGTAATCATTCCTTTGGCGTAAGTCCAGACGTCTGTATGTGGATCATATACTTCAACAGAGCTGAGACAGTTCCAGGCATCACACCCGCCCGCTGCAAACACCAGACCATCCATGGAACAGACACCTGCCTGGTAGCGCCCTGAAATACAGCATTTATCTTTCTGGCCAAAAGCTCTATTTAAATTACAAAAACGTGTATTTTAACGGGAAATCATAAAAGTGATAAACATAGTACCAAAGGTAATAAAATTTTTACGAACAGCAAGCGAGAGTTAGATCAGTTCAGTATGTGAGTGGTCAGTGTCACGACCCTGCCACGCTTTACCCCCAGGAAAGTACCCCGGTACCCTTTGGATAGGAGGCTGGGTGGGCCGCCCCAGAACCAGTCTGGACGCAGAGGCTAGAGGAAAAATCCTCTGCTCCCGTTAGAGATCAAACCCCAGTCATCCAGTCCGTAGCAAGTCACTATACTAATAATAATCAAATATAAATAATTAAAATATTAAATTTTCAAAAATCTCAGACATGTATCTTGAGTGTTAACAATCATCATGGCAACACACTGTAAAACTGATTTTGCCGTGAAACGCTACAAAGACTGAAGGGTGAAAAGATAGAAGAACTTAAATACAGCAAAACACAAACAACCTAAAATCTGTCTGCGCACTTAACAACTATCCAAATCCTGCCGTGGCCCTTACCAGTCTGAAGCGGAGCAACGGGGCTCCACTGTCTTGTGACGGGGTCCAGAACATCACACTGCTTGATGCCTACTTGGCCATTCCATCCACCAATGCAGTAAATCAGGTCATTCAGATCACACACACCTGTCAGCAGACGTAATAATAGAACGCGTTACTTCCATCGTCATCACGTGCAAACGTTACACGATGCGATGGTTGGCTGAAGACGTAGCTGAGCCAGTCACCCAAATTCTACGTACACAACTCATGGTCATTACTGTCTCTAAACAGTAACATTCAAGAGAGTGGCAAACATAAATAGTAACTTCTGGAATGGGAAAAAAACACTTCACTATTCTAAGAATTCAATATATATTATTCTATTTCACAAAATATAAGCTACTCAATATCAACCTAAACTACATTATATAAATATATATTATTATTTTTGCACAATACACTCACAAAGTTATCTTCATCTGCTGTTACTAGCATGGATGTCATCTGTCAGTAGCAGCTCACAAATGACTCGACTAAACAGACCATTCTCTCATACCAGCTTTGAATGTACAAGCCGATTCAGGAGCATTTCCCTTTCGTATCAGCACGCTAACTACACTTAGAGCTAAGAATCATACAACCTGATTACTCACCGATGTTCGTTGGGACTTTTAATTACACGATGGAGGGGCGCAACACATCAGTTCATAATGTCTTGGTCCAAGACCCATAACAAGCACATTCTCCATCGCAAGAAACACCAAGTTCGAGACCACGGCTCTCCGAACGCAAAATCACGCAGAATACTTTTCCCCCCACATCAATTTTCAGCCCGTACATTCGTAACCAAACTACTGCGGTCATTCACGTACCTAGATATATAACTACTTTCCTGTGGAATCTGGAAACAGTGATCGGTAGTCCGCAGGAAGTCACAAGCCTTCTATGGACAAGTACAATTCACATAATCCTGGTAAAAGATAACCAGTGCCTCGCTGAAAACATGATCTGAACCGTGAGAAATCGACGGGCTTGCAGCTACAGGCCACATCAATCTTATTCAGACAATGGACTTCTATGACGCGCGAACTTGGCGGCTTGGGCCGTCTAGGAGCAGTACCAACACATTATAACTGTTACATGGTTTAAAAGCCCTTATTTTCAGTTTTAAGAGGTAGACTCTGTTCTTCACTGGCTAGGGTGATCATTCAACCGACACCTCGACACACAAGTGATGCTGAAAAGCAAATGGGAAACAAACAAATGTTTTAATTGTAGAATAGTTAAACTCGATTTGCTGAAGGATCCTAAAATTTAAATTTATTCTACAGATGAATACTTTTTTTTTTAAAAAAAAAACCAGAATCAAGTGCCAAACCAAACAAGAGGAAAACTATATTTAAAATGTTTGGCAATTGATATGGAGTGAAGAAATTGGTTGCAGGCCTTACCTGACTGTAATCTACAACCAGTCTCTCTGAGCTGACACACATCTGGGAACAGAACTCACACAAAGCACACACTCCTGTATGTCATCATTAATTCTACACACATCTGTGGAAAATGCTCCTGAAATATATTACACCTTGCAATCCTCTTCTTGTCGGTCCAAACACGGTACTTGGAAACCAAAAATGACTCTTAACGCAATGAAGTTGTTCTTACATTCATAATTTCTACGTTCTATAAAATCCTAACGACACGTTACAATACGCTGAAAGGAAAGTTCTTAAAATAAACTGAAGTACATTTTAAAATATATTTTACAAATCCTCATATCCATTACATGTGTAGGACGCTGCAGTATGATACCAGATTAAATTTGCCACAACGCAGAGAGAGAGATTTAATCAAAAATCATTAAAACTCTTTAGAGAAAAACACTTCCTCGTTAACATATTCTTAACGCTTTTCCATGCGGTGCAACCCCGATACAATGAGCATTTATAAAATTTAGAAAAATATTTGTTCTAATAACCAAAAATAAATGATCTTACTTCCATCTCCTAACTTCTAATTACATAAATAAACATGTAACACTATGATTTAAAAAGCATTAATAATTTTATAAATTTCTTAGCCATAATAGCTGTTATGGGGACATGAAAATAATGCTGTTGCCTTATATTTGATTCACTCTATACTAATCTCCATCTTGGCCTCATCTAACGCTCTATGGCAAATGATGCAACGAGTACATTATGAATTGCAGATTTTCTTCTAAGACTCAAGGGGCACATTATAATCTGTTGAGCGGCAAAAGCTGATATCAGCAGAAAAATTAAAAACAAAAATGTACTCGTAAGTACACCACCCAAGGGGGGGGGGGGGGGAAAAAACAGTCCTTTGCATGTAAGAATGAGGATGTCACACAATCTCTCATATCATAACACCATTCTCACCTAGCCACGGCTTTCAAAAAAATAACAAGTCTTGGGGGTAAAAGTGACACATCTGGAAATTACGATTTTGTAGAAAACCAACAAAGTTTCTGCCGTTAATGTAAAGCTCCGTGCTTCAAATCTAAAATATATAGCGGTATCTTGCAAATAAACATATTAATTATTATTTTTTTCATTTATAGTGGTAAGTTGCTCTTATTTGTGATGGAAATTATGAAAGAAAGATTCAACTTCATAAAGTAATCTTAAGCTATTCCTGGGTTCCAAGCACCAGCCATAGATGATGGTAGAACCTACAGAACCTACACACAGTTCATATAAATGACACTGGGAGAAGTAACATAAAGAGAAACTCACAGTACAACCTTGTAAATTCATTAACATTTGTCACACAACATCGGAGCACAAAAATCTTCAAGAAATCTAGCTCGATTATTCAGTCAAACACAACCTCATGACCATGCCCAAGATCTCACCAGGTCATTCAAAATGTTGGCCATTTTATTTAATATTCAAAAATTATACGGATACTCAGAAGTACAGCATTATATTTAAGAGCTACTTTGGTTCAAATTCTGTCCGATACACACGGGAGTGCTCAGTCAGGAAACCGTCTTTCGAAAGGTGCCATAATCCACTTCCCACGACATCCTTTCACCTTCCTAACACCATCTATTCACCAGATGATGACCCGTACGGCCCAGCTGTCCTACTATTCATATTTACATCTCCACCACGAAAATAGAAACAGATTGTAGCGTCCACCAACCCTCTGCACGAACAAGTTATTTCGATCTGTAAAATCAGAATTTTGGACTTCGTCCATCAGCTATATTTCGATCCAATCATATTTTAAGCTGGACATTCTACCATCTTATGATAAAAATGGGAAGATATTTTTACGAATAAAGAGTCCAATAAAATAAGAAACAATTTCTTAAGTTCCTACCATCTACTGTTTAAAAAACATGATCCTCCAAACAAGACTTAGCAGTCTTCACATTGGACCAACAGGACTACCATATTTACGAAGGTAAAGGAAGTCAGGCTCTCGTACTAACCAAATGAGTGAACGAAGATTTCGTAATCCACTTAATACTTTATAGACCGCATCGTGACCTAATCTAGCGCAGAAAAGAGTTTTATTTTTACGGCAATTCAGTCATGAAAATGTTCGGTGTGGTCTTCTGGGTTGTTACTGTGCAATCTTGTGGGTGGATAAAACTACAACCTAACCAGAAAACCACAGCAAACATCTTCAACACCAAGAATTAGTCATGAAAAGGTTGTGTTTTACGACTCTTCGTTCCACTACGCAGGAATTACTGATTTTTTGAGCTCAATAAAACCTTTCTTAAAGTATGTCAACATTAATGTGATTATCTGCGTATGACAAATACATTAATTGAATCAAAGAGGCATACCTCAAATTAAAATACTCAAAATGGTAGTTCATTCACGCTCCTTTTCTGAATAACAAAGTTGTACTATCAATACGTAAACATCTGCATATAAATACCAATCATGATTACTCTTTGCTTGTGACATTGTGCTGTTTCGGATGGTCCTTTCAGGTTAGGTTTGCAACCCTGCAGAGTGCTATTGAAACTGGTGTCCACTCATCTGTACGCACGTGACAATTCAATAAGAGCTGAAGAATTTTTCCATGAAACGCATCAGAGAAGTTTACTAAAATTCATCGACAGATTCAAATTTTTTGGACAGAAATGGGCATTTTGCATTGAATTTATGAAAACTGAAATTACTGGGTGGCGGGAGGGGGGGGGGGAGATACCCAACTGGTGAATTCCACATAGGAATTTCCCAGCCAACCACGTAACCATGTGGGGAAATTAGTCTGATGACCCATGCATAGGTCACCGACACAAAAAAAAAAACTCTCGACACTAATGAGACAAAGGTCAAATTTTGGTGAGGAAACTAACACTACGTATAATTTCCTCATTTATTTTTCGGGGCGTCTTACTAACTCTTCTTCGGGGGTTGTCCGGTTGTCTGCTTGAGATGCTTCAAACTTTTCAGATGAACTTACTAATACTCTTTTATCTTCAGCTCAGAAAATTTACGCTGCGAGTTTCTCCGCAGCATCGGAAGTGTCTTGCAATATACTTGGGTTCACTGCCAAGTTCAAGAACGAGTAGGAGCCATACCTTCTCTCCCCCCCAAGCACCACCATGGTGTGCAGTGTGACAACTTTACTTACATTCACGATTAGCACGTGTCAACAAAACCTGGATCATACATTTAAAAACAAGTCAGCTGTTTTAGCAAGCGAAAACAAACAAGCACAAAGCGTCATTTACTTCTCCCAGTAACACGCATTCATAAACGCCTTATAGATCCACTTTTACGTAAATATATCTAATATAATACGTACACATACAGGAAGCTAACGGACAATGCACTTGCCTATGTTGCACCTTGCAAGAGGCAAAGGAGTGATCTGAGTCCATTTCTTCTCCTGTGGATCGTACTTCTCGACCGTGGCGAGCTCCGTCGTGCCATTGCTACCACCAATGGCATACACCTTCCCTTTGACTACAGCGATGTCAAAACGACCACGTGCTTCCTTCATGGAGGATAACGTGTCCCAGAGATTAGTTTCTGGGTCATACAACTCCACGCACTTCAGACACTCGGCCCGGTCATAACCGCCTGGGACATTGAGAAACTGACGATGTAACACAAAAAAAATTCTGTACCTTCATTATGAGCATGCCTATATTATCTGTCAAAAGTGTGGCAACAAAAGCTGTCTCCCACATTTCGCAGAAAACGGTCATTGCAGACCTTAACTTAAAAGTAACATCGAGACGGTAAAGAATTAAACAACGGAAACACTGACCACAGACGAGAAGCGAGTCGTTGAGATTTGCGCAGCCAGCCGCACACTTGACTGAGCTCATGTTTGCCATCACGCAGTAGAGATCCGGTTTCTCTTCGCTGGCGGGGCGGCTGGCGACAGGCGTCACGACGGGGGACGGGCTCGATGGCTGGTTCAGCCGAAGCATAACAGACATGGTGGCCAGTCGTCCACTGATTGTCACAAGAGCCATGAATGTATGTTCTGAAAAACGTTTTACAACAATATAATAATTACCTACATTTATTTATTCGCCTCGGAATAAATATTTCCCAAAACTTTCCTCTGCGTAGTTCATTATGGGTTGTTCAAACAAAACCCGTTCACTAGCCGATGGTCACGCGATGCTTTGAATTCTTTCCCAACAGTAATTTTACAGAAGACAAGATAATAACTAAACAAGTAACTTACCACAATAAACGAAAGACCTATCATTTACGGAGACCCATAAATGATACAAACACATTTTACCTTGAAACTAGTACAACGCATCAATCGCAACAAGTTGATCTGCCAATCGCTGTACAGCTTTCTGAAGCCAAGTGCGTAACATAAAGAACAACTCACCTCCGACTTTCGCTGCTGCGATGAGATTCCAGTCAGTTTCTTTCTCCTGTTCGGTTCTCTCACCGATATCTCGGGAGTAAATAAGCACTCGGGGCTTAGCCGGCTGTAATTGACCCTTGCGTCTACCCTGCAATTTTAAAAAGGAAAAAATTGCCTATCCCGTAATTATACATTGCAGTCAAGCACGGACTAATCGATAAGTCATCATCAGCCATTAACAATTGTGCAGCACGCACTATCTAGTGATGGGGGGGGGGGGGGGGTCCCCAAGTCTTTTTTGAAAGAGGCATTTTTTGTCCTCTCGTGGCACAGCGCTATCCAACCGAAGTCAGATCGGTCATCTAGACCCCAAGAAATAATAAAACTGAGATAGGGGTGGTCTAGCGGTTAGAACGCTGGCCTTGTAATCCTGGGGTCTCGGGTTCGATTCCCGGCGGTGCCCGAATTTATAACTTGTGTTGGGCGAGGCCGTGATCTAGGCAACACGGAGTTTTCCTCCGTGGCATCCCAACAATTACTCCATTCACACACAGAAGAAGGCAATGGCAAACCACTTCTGGATCATCTGCCAAGAACGTGTATGAACAGGTCCCAGTCCGAGAAGAGAAAAGGATGGAAGGATCATGTTCATATGGACCTGTCGTCAGACAGAACACGAAATAATAAATAATAATACAGGTGAACACATCAACTTTCAAAGTATTTATCGAAAATAACTTAATTCTTTGCTTTGTTTTTTGCCTGTTATTTTCTCGCTTTTAAATTTTCCTTCCGCAGTCGTTGAAAATCTCACCTCTGCTGCCATTAACCTGTTACTATCAGCCCTGGTCAATGTCCCAGTCTCTGCTCCACAACGTAATATAGCCACAGAGTAACATTCAAACACACACATTTTCCCCTCTACGAAGAATTAAACAAACCTGAAGGAAAACGTAAACTGTACGTCTGAAACAAAAGTCTGCAAGGAATTTCTGGCATCCACCCTGACCCTTTCAGACGGGTGTTCGTGTCGGATGTAAAATCTTTAATTGTCGACCGAGTATTTAAAACAGCCAATTATAAGTGGGCCCACTTTCCAAAGCGACTGGTGGCGTCGCGTCATGACACGCAGCTCGATTCTCACCTTGGGATTAGCTTGATTCCGCTTAGATAATTTCTTGTAATCCTGCACAATCTCGGTGTCACTCACGTCGCCGCTCGGAAGTTCTGTGCAGTCCTGCAGCGAGTTGTCCATGGCAAGGTACAGGAGGTGAGTCTACACAATCCACAAAGCATTTATAACGCTAGCCTCAACATTTAAATGTGCAAAAGGGGACTGTAAAATATAAATAATTACCACACACACACGTGAGACTAACCTTTTCTGTTAGCTGGTCCATGTTAATAGCGTCATCACACTGGCGCCTGACCCAGTCGAGAACGAGCTGACAGAGCGATTCGCCTACCACCAGAGACATCTCCTGGCGAGTTTGGTTCAACACTTCAATGCGCACACAGGGAAGAGAGAGAAGGATTTTCGACTTGGACACGCTTTCAAACTGCAGAAAGCAACATCGGCGAAAATAACTCGATCGAGAAAATTACGTAAACGAGCACGTATAAAACACTTTAATATACGTCAAAGCGATGTTTCGGATCAAGAAACTGAGACACGAGACATTTCTTTCTGTTAATATTAATTCCCCTTTGATAAAACAAACGAAACACTACGATAACTACTATTCTTCAGCTCCGCCCACAGAAAGTTACAAGAAAACTTAGCGCTGCGGCCTGCGACAGTCTTCCGGCGAACAACCTTTGTCACTGTTACGACTCGTATCCTCAGTGGTTTCATGTGGTTTTAAATTACGCGACCAACGACATTCAATTAACGTTCCTCAGCACGAGAGTAAGAGCGCAGAAAATTACGTACCTCTTTAGCGATAAAGGCATCGACCTGATCGACAAACGCCTTGTTTCTTGCAATGCCAGGCAGGGAGCGGGTCTCGATGCAGTTCTCAATGTTGAGGTTTTTGATGAGGTGTCGTGTACATTCTTTCATCACACGATCCATCTTCAAGTGGCACGCCGCCAAGTACACAGCCTTCACCCGCGAATTGTTCACTTCTAGTCTGTAACCAAACAACTCCGTCATAAGTTACCTGAAACCCCAAGTAAAATTAATTCGGAATTAATTCACTATCAAGTTAAATGGATCCCACAAGACAGCGTGTGCTTACGCTGCAGACGGAGAATTCCTCCAGATATGTTGGGGGAAGATCGAACAAATGTAGTCGCAAAAGGTCATTCAGTTTGGGGCTTAGGTAAGGGCCAACGACTCGTTGCTGCGATACGGCATCTTGTTAAATAGGCCTTTGGAAATGGACAGATTCTACGTTAGAACGATGAACTTAACGGAGCACGGACTTTGATGCGTCAGCCGTCCCAAGAAATTCCCCGCCTCAGAACCCGAAACTTTATTAGTGTTCACAGAGGCCTGCCTTTAGGCACGCAGCTCAGATAATTGAATCCAAACATCTTAATTAACATTTAACGTCCACTTTCATTTCCGAAGCCGTCTCTTCGGCTTCAGGCTAACCCACAAAAAATTTATCAGGCATTTGTCTTGTCCTTATGCCCCACCCATATCATCCCCCTCGATTTGACAATCCTAATATTTGTTGAAGGGTACAAATCATGAAGTACCCCATACAATTTCCTTTATCTTCCCGTTATTTCGTCTCCCTTAGTTTGAATATTTTTCTCAGCATTTTATTCTCAAACATCCTCTTTAATAATTCGTTAAGAGGGGAAAAAGTATGACAATAAAACAGCACAATATCACATAAGTAACTTCACAACTTCATTTTCTTTCATGGACGTCAAACAACTCAAATTATCGTACGACAAGAGTATTTAAACTCAAACATGCGCGAAATATTAAATTACGTTACCTTGACTTATTAGGCTAGCCACTAGTTGAATGCGCACACCGTACCTGGCAGTGTACGCGTAATGGATGAGCTTCTCCAACGCGGTCGGATCGAATCCTCCGTTCAGCTTGTAAGTGATGACGTTTTCACGTTGACTGCCCTTGTTTTCATCGTCAGTGGTGAAGAGTTCAAACAGGTAAGGACTGGCACATGCCAACACCGCACGATGGGCATGGAACTCCATGCTGCCGACCTAAATGGGCCACCAACTAATTAATTCCCCCGACATCCAACAACGCACGTGCTGAAAGTGCCCGACAAGAACGACAACATCCGAGGTTCGGAGACTTCCATGCATTTACCATCATGAGTCGGGCCTGCTTCAGAGCGTTGGCGTATAAAGCACTCAGTTACTTCTAGTTCGAAGCGGACACCATTTGTGCGCCTCTATATACAAACACGCCACCCATCTCCGTTCACGTCAGTCACTTTAGAAATAACGTATGTAATTTTTTGTGAAGCCAACGACTTTGGCAAAGAGCATATTTAGATTTACGAACACTACTGACGACCATTTATGAGCCGGGATAGCTCAGTCAGTATAGTGACTAGCTACGGGATGGACGACCGGGGTTCGATCCTCGACGGGGGCAGAGGATTTTTCCTCTAGCCTCTGCGTCCAGACCGGCTCTGGGGCCCACCCAGCCTCCTCTACAATGGGTACCGGGGTCCTTTCCCGGGGCGTGATGCTGACCACTCACCCCCATCTAGTGCCGAGGCCAAGGAAGAGAGGAGCTATACCTCCTCTCCCCCCCAAGCGCCTACATGGCGTATAGTGGGACAAACTTTATTACTTTATTTTTTACTGATGGCCATTTAATGGAACGCTGTAGAAGACCACAGTTTTTGTCTGAAATGATTCCCGTTCTTGATATACATAAAATATGTATATGTACGATAAAGAACCACTCCGTGTTACGTAGCCTGGACCAAAATTCAAATGTCTGATGATACGCGAGTTTTTAAAAATGTAATTTTTCCCAAATCAAACTCTTTTTAAGAAGTTGGTAGTTGCTCAGTTGGCCAACAAATTCCTTGCATCTTTACGAAGCCAAAAGGCCTATTACCCCTTTTAAAAAAAAAGTATTCTGCTACAAGCCGAGTCGACTGCCGATAAGGCGGAATGTTCCGACGTCACACAGCAAGTAAAATGGTGCGTCGGATGAGCAAAACTTTTTAAAGACAATTCTGATGGAACACATAGTACTAACATGCAGGATAACGTCGCAGAAGTGTCTGTTCTTTCGCATCATGTTGAGGGACTGCAGCGTGCGAGTGTTGTGCTCGTCGTCCTCAAAAACCAGGCCGGTAACGCTCGCCACCTGGGCCTGGCCATTCTGCTGCAGTTGTTCCACCATCGCCACCTGGTGAGTGTCTGATCCAATCAGTGGAAACTCTGCAACACACACAAAGTCACGATCACCGTCAAAAATCTTCGGACAATACATGGCGATAGTCAGAGAAAAACAAACAATTCTTTGTCGCCGATCACTGCTGCCACCTGAATCCAATTCTGATTACCAAAACAATACGCTACTTTACTTCAGTTAACAATTCAGCCTCCCTGACAAAAAATCTATCCCGCTATACACCATGTAGGCGCTTGGGAGGGGAGTTTAGCTTCAGCTCATTCTTAAAACTCAGCATAGAAAGTGTCATGCCCCAGAAAGGATGGATGTGGCTGTAGATTGAGAACCCGTGGCTTAAGATCATTACCAATCCAGGGCAAGCTACATTCACTCACTCACAACTTGAACCTCACTCCTTCGCAAGCTTTCTCCTGCCCTAGAGCCGCCTATATTCAGTTCTCGTCAGCATAATTCAATGCACCCTAACAAAAAGTTAGGATTCAATACAGATAAAAAAACAACATCATCACAATGGTTGTTGTCGGGACTGGGGAGGTTGATTCAAAGGCACTGAACATTCATGTACGAAACTACTGAACGTATTTTTTTTAAAAAAAATTAAGCACGTTGTTCAGTTTTAAATTGAATTACGTATAAACTCCATGAGTCGATCAATTTATATGAAAATCCGTCCGTCATAGATGGCAAAGGTAAAACGTGCGCGTAGGCGACTGTCGATATCGTGATCACAAACCCAAGACTCTGTTCGGAAACCACGCGGATCCCAACACAGACAGAACATTCACACCTTGGCAAGAGTCCACACGCGCAAGAGTGGAATTATACCAGCAGCCATTACGACTCGAAAGTATGCAGCCCGAAACCCTTCCAGCCTCCCTGGTCTTGTTGCAGTGGAATTTGGATATTTCAGTGTCCAATAAAACAGCAACATCCCAAGTCATTTTCGTCTGCTTTCAAAAAAAAAAAAGAAGTAGTAGTTTATGATTCAATTATACAAACTTTACTGCAACCCGTTATTTTGTACGGTGTGAAATTTGCAATTCTCACTCGATTCGATCCAGATTAAGAAAATTTTAGATTATATATATAAATATTTAAATAGATAAATTAAATCTTATATTAAATATAATTCATATTAGATAATTGATTATTTTAAATGAAGTATTTTATTGGTGTATTAATTCTATTAAAATAAATATTTACATTATTTTTCAGATATCAAAAGAAAAAAACCACCAAAATAAGGAGTAATTAACCAAATAATTAAAGAAAGAAATAAACCAGGTTCACTCCTGAGAAGCTGACAGTTGCTGTTCTAATAAAAAAAATTCCAACCTTTTAACAAACCCGACTGGACCCTATCTTGAACCATATGAACCCAGTTATGCACTCACACCCAATTCTCACAAGATTCGCTTTAATATTATCTTCTTACGTCTAGGTCTCGCTTGGTAAAAATTATTCCTGCTCAATCAAGGTCTTACTCCACACATTTTAACCTCGGCACCACAATGATTAGCATCACGTTCCGGTCGCTTTACCCCCGAGAATCGAATCCCCGCACCCAGTGAACAAGAAAAAGGCCACGTGGACCGCAGAGCTCGTCTCAACGTCGTGGAATAAAATTCTAAACCAACCAGGCTGTTGGCATCAGACAGTACGAGGACAAGATATTAAACAATTCGGAAGCGGAAGTGGCTATGATTATTCATGGCGTAACTGATTAAAGCCATAGAAAATCAGTGTTGCAGCTCTCCCGGAAAAAAAAAAAATTCCCCGAACATGAGAAACAAACGAAGTCCGCAATTCGTGCCCGATCTAAGATGGCTGCCGTCTTCTGGGTTGTAGCTCCGTGTCAGAGGTACTCGCTGCCTCCACCATCATCACACTAATTTATAATTCCCGTGTCACATTTATTGAGGGCATGCTTTGTGTAATTATTTATTAAACAGTGTGTGTAAATTGGTTATAAAAATATTAGTGTTTAATAGACGGTCTCTCGTCTCTTCTCTCAATTCGCGCGCAAACACTTATAGACGTTTTTTTTAACGTCTGCACATGCGCAGACGTTCACACTTTGAATTTACATCGCTCAGCCAATAAACGAGGATCTTAAAACATCTCCCACCATCGCTCAACTGTTTTAGGATAACTATCAATTCTTACGCGTTTACATGGAGATCAGCCAGAGAAGAATGTTCCTATAAACACAGGTTTTCCCAAAAAAAAGATGTATACACTTGTCAGTAAGTTTCTCACCGCTGTCAACTTTGCCACCATTGGTCATTTTGAACACCTACGAAAAATTCGCTAATTCACTACGTGCCCATATTGACGTATGCAACGGTCTAGTTTCTTAAAATGGCTCTATTTCATTCACTGAATACGTATGTGTAAATATATTTTTGAGACACCCTGTATAACCCAGAATATTAAGAAAGCGTATTTTCATGAACATGCAGAGAAAAACCTTTGTTTTAGCCGACTGATATAATCTATTATGAAGAAACTGGGTACAGAAGAGAGACTGTAATTCCTGTAGAAACATTTAGTCAAACAAATGTTAGTTACAATTACAGCAAATTCCATGAAGCAGTCATCTTTACGAAGCTGATAATCGCTGTTGGTCAGGAAATTACCATGAAGTAACCTGAATGTTCAAATGTAAAAAAAATAAAATATTTTGAACTGAATATAATACCAGGGAGCCACGTCCAACAACTTACAGCTTGCGCGCATGAGCGGTTTTTCGAACGCAACATGATTCATTTTCGATGCGGTGTGGTGGCAATGGAACTCGAAGAACCCCAACCTGCGCATGCGCACGAACAGCGAAACAATGGCACGGCAACCATTGTTTGCCCGACCTTGGTGGCGATTGTACGTGTCGTGGATTGACAGCAAAGTTTCTGATAGTGAGTGACTGATAACTGACGAGGAGAAATGGGTGGGGCTGTACAGTTAAGGCCATATCGGAGTAAAATGACAAAAACTAAAGATAAACTGTGGATAGAGGTCTGTGAAGCCTACCTTACAAAAGAGAAAATATCTTAAGAATTTCTTTGGATAAATACGCAGGTCGTCATATAACTTGTGAAATTGGCCATTTAACAATCTTTCACTTACAAGTGCATGTACCCAAAATTTCTTTTCTACGCTTTGCCCTCGCTCTTATAGCAGCACAGCGCAGACACCAACTGTCTCCACAAAATCCAGCTCCCAACTGAGAAGAATAAGCAAACATTTGCGTTTATTTCAACGTCCGTGCGCACAGCCAACAAGAATATGCTTAAACTGAAACCAACACGAAGGTTCATTACCGTGCTTACAAAAGCCTGTTAATGGACCCTTTCCCGAGCCAGCTGAATCTACCCCGCTGCCTCATATTCTCTTTCGTTTGTGTCAATTTCATAATGTCCTTCCCTCTACGCCTTGGTCTCCCAAGTCGTTTTACCCTTCATGTATTACAGACAGGCACTGGGTAAATATTCATCCGACAGAAGAATATTTTATATAACAATGAATTTGGAAACAACACGCGTGTAGTTCTGATTGGTCGTTCGCAACTAAATGTTTTTATTCATCATAAATTCCGAACCACCAGTTTGGCAATGGACACAAACTCGCGAAATTAAGAGATAAAATACCACACGGTCAGACTGCATCACGCATGCGTCAAATTTCCCGTTACGTGGCATTCTGCGCGAACCTACGGCAGAAACTTCCGGTACGAGGAAAAACGTATTTGCGGTAATGAACCTTGTGATCGTGTTCACGGTAAAAAAAAATTCTTGATTAACAAAGCAACCAACAGCTTCTCGAGAAAACTGCTCTACTGGGTTATGGTTTGAAACTTGACACTCCGCTGGCGAAATTAGCAGAACCCGAAGGATCAAGCTGGCCATGACACGATTCTGGGCCAGTACCAGCCACCTTAACATTCATCCATTACTTTTCTGTCTTTATAATGAAAGTTTTCCATGCGATTTCCACCAAAAATGCATTCGACTTTGCATCCTTGCTACATGTCCAGCTCATCGTACACATGCATTAACACACTTTTTTACATCTCTATACATGATAGTCGCTATTAATTAATTTTTATTGTAACAAACGTAATAATAATTGTCGACTTATATTCCCTTCCTATTACAACAATGTTTCTCTCAATATTACGTTTCCGATATTCTTCGACACAACATGCCCTCTTCCCTTCTCAGGGCCAGAAAAAAATTATAAAAAAGAGATCCATGTTTCGTCCGTAACACAAAGAGAGAGAATTTCCTTGAACCACCACAAGTAACATCATGGCGGAGTCAGGCCACGTGCCACTACCAAACAGCCACCTCATGAATCCACGTGTTCAGTATTTCAACAGGAGAAATATTTTTTAACTCCATAACAATCGAAAGTAAATATAAACACAATTCAAACCGGTATTAAACATGTTTTTGTCTGCAGAAATACAATTCTGAGTTCAGTACCGGCACTGATGATGTCACACAAGATGGAAGTTTACTTACGTTCCTCTACGGTCGGATGCATATCAAAAGCTTTTGTCTTCACGTAGGCGTCTTCCAAGACTGTTCCAGAAGCTGCTTGTGTCCAATCTGTACTTTATCACTAAACAGACTAACCAATAAGGCTCAGATACTGCAAAGACAATATACAGTGTAGCACTGAATCGCTTTCAAGCAACACGCAGCTACCAAGCCAGACGCCGGCTGCCTCTGAACTACAGTGGTGCCAAACTAACAACCACGATCGACCGACAGTTCCCTCCCCTCATTTGTTTTCTATTCATGCCACCCCCCCCGGCAATGAACATACAAAAAGGGGGGGGGGGGTATTATAAGGTGTTTCAAACTAAAATATCCTAAAAATACGAACGTAGAAACCAACTTGAGAGTTCAAATATATATATATATATATGAAAAGTCGCTGAACTTATTAAGTGCCGAGTCAAACTTATTAATAATAAATGAACAACAGCTTTGTTAATTTAATTCAAGATTTCACCACAATC